AACAATCCTGATTTTGGGGAGGGTAGAAGGAAGTGGGCACATCCCTGCAGCAGGCAATTCAAGCCCCTGCAGCCGGCCGTGAGCAGTTAGCCCCGACGAACGTTCATTTTCCTTGTGTCCTGACGACCCCTGAGCCCCCGGATCTTCTGATCAGATTGCTGTCATCTTGGAGCTCTGTTTCTTGGGAGCCAGTACTTTCTGGAGCTCTTGACCGCTTCCTTCACAGCCATGTCCTCAGGGTGTGGGCTTGGGGTGGACGTCAGAGAGCTAATGGCACCCTTGCACATCATGTGTGGCTGCTGCTTCACCCAGAGGTCAGGCTCCTTGGGAGGGTCAGGCCAGGAGCACAGTGACCCAGGTGAGAGGTGCCAGCCTCACGCCCACTCCCCACATCTGCAGCTACCGTGTCTATTGCATGTTGGGAGATGGGGAGATGTCGGAGGGCTCTGTGTGGGAGGCCATGGCCTTCGCCGGCATCTACAAGCTGGACAACCTCGTCGCCATTCTTGACATCAACCGCCTGGGCCAGAGTGACCCTGCCCCGCTGCAGCACCAGTTGGATGTCTACCAGAAGCGTTGCGAGGCCTTCGGGTATGTACAAGGCTGTGGCCTGAGCACCCTCACAGCATGGGAGCCATCTGTGCTAGAAGCTGTGCAGGTATGAGGGCTGAAGCCAGAGGGTAATGAGTCTCCCTTTTTCAGGGTTTGACTCACAATTTCAGACTTTGGGTATTTAGAATTAAAGTAGCAGCCCAGGCTACCTCATGAATTTGTAGGCTAAGGCCCACTTCTGAGTTCCTTTGTCTGTGTGGTTGTGTGGCATCCTAATTCTCAGAGCTTTTACATAACGTTCTCTCACACATCCTCACTTGTTCTTGAGGGAGGGGGAGGAGGTGTACACAGTGTGAACCAAGTTTGCTCAGTGAGGCTAAGGGACACATAGGGGTTTGAACATAAGTCGGGTGGCTGCCTCCTGTGCCCAGCCCCAGCCAGCCTGTGGAAGAGGAACAGTACCCCTTCCTAGTGAGATGAGAGAAACAGTTTTCAGACTACCCCCTGGGCCTTGAAAGTTGTGAATTCAGAGTCACATGTTACAAAGCAGGAAGGTCCATCTGGGTGGGTGTCAGCCAGAGGGGCCCTCACCTCAGTGTCCCTCCCCTGCCCCAGATAAAAGCTGCTCTGCAGTTAGGGCTCCAAGACACCCAGGTTCCAGGCTCAGCCTCGGTTGAGAAGACTGTGGAGGACTCTGGCCTGTGGTTCTGCAGGGCCCTGAGGGCCAAGGGCCCTTTGTAGATGAGTCAGTGACCGGGGAAGGTCGAGATAGACTTGCAATACCAATTACACAGGCTGACCTTATAGAGAGAGAAAGTAAAGAGAGCAAGTATCCTGTTAGGCAGAAGAGGAAACAGCCATAAAGTACCTCAAGGACTTCGCCAAGGCCACATCAGGCTGGGGAGTTGAGTATATGACCCTGACAGCTAGGTCTGTGTCTATATAACCCTGTAGCTCTGAAGGCAGATTCCTTAAGTCCTGGCTCTGTCACTAACTTACTTTGTGACAGGTGATTCTACCTTCAGCATCTCAGTTTACTTGTCTGTAAAGTGGAGGTGGTAACAGCTCCCCCTGTTGTAGTGAGACACATGGGTCGTGTGTTATGCTTGGCCCAGTGCCTACAGAGTACGTGTTAGCTGCTATTTTCATTATTAATGTGCCATAAAGAGTCCTAGAAGGGATTGCCTTAAAGAGAAAGGTTGCCCTGCACTGGCTCCTTCCCCTAGACTTTTGACAGCATGGCTCTTTAAAAAATGTTTCCAGCCTACATCCAGCATCTGTGAAGTGATTAGATGTTCCCCTAAATGAAAATTGGGCCAAAAAATTCATCAAATATCTAATAGCAGATTCCAAACCTAGTACATCATCCCAAAAGCAGCTTTCAGTAGGAAATGAATAGGTCAGGAATAAAAGATGCAATAAATGAACTAAGCTTTGAATTACTTAGGAGAGAGGAGGAAAATCTGTTCAGGGAAAACAAGAGGAAGTTAAATAATTTGAAAAGAGAAAATAAAACCCAGATTGGAAACAGGAATGTTTTAGACTTCCTGACTCCTCCAGCTCTTTTCCAGATTGAAGTTGTGCGGTAGAGTGAGGGCAGACCTTCCCTGGGACCCTCCTCAGGGTCCTCAGGCCCCTGGCCCTTGCTCCTCACTCCCGCCTCTCTGTCCCCAGCTGGCATGCTATCATCGTGGATGGACATAGCGTGGAGGAACTGTGCAAGGCCTTCGGCCAGGCCAAACACCAGCCAACAGCCATCATTGCCAAGACCTTCAAGGGTCGAGGGATCTCAGGTCTGTTTGCATGAGCCTCCCTCCCCACTCCTACGCTTGGGGCTGGGTTCTGGAGCTGACCAAGAAGGTGGGGTGGGGCATGTCTCTGAGATCTTGTATCTGGGGAAGCACCATCCCTCTGCTGCCATAGTGAGTACACCAGGACTGGGGAACGGGGAGCAAGAGACTGTTCCTTGAAGTGACTCAGTGGTCAACATAGCTGAGCCAAGATTCAAACCCAGGTCAGGCTGGCCTTGGCTAAGGGGCATGTGTAGGTAGGAGGAGAGGAGGGGCTTGGAGAAAGCATGTCAGGGAAAGAACCTGGTATAAGACCATCCCCCATACTCCCTCCTGGGCTGGCACTTGCAGAGCATCCTTGATGGCTCCAGCTGTCTGTCCTGAGCTGAAGGGCCGACAGGGAGCCCTAGGAGAACCTGAAAAGACCTGGGTTTTTCCCTAGAGGTGAGCGAGCAGGACATCTCACGCAGTAGAAAAGTGCTTAGAAGACTGTGTGAGTGGAGAGTCTGGGTGGGTCTGGAAGATGGTGGTCGTGTCAGGCATGAGAGCCATGCCAGCTTGTGGCTTTCTAGCCCACAGGTGCGGGCTCCAGACCTTGAGGCTGGGATGGCCTTGACCCATTTTAAAGGTGGGAAAATGGGGCTAGAAGCAGTCAGGAACTTGCTCAGAGACACAGGTAGTCTGTGACACTAGGGGGCCTAACTGCAGGCCCTGGGCCAGCTTTACTGTGGCACATGCCCTGGCTGTCCCCCTGCTTGCCTGGGAGTCACAACTTCCTCTCCCTGTGTGGACTTGGTAATTGAGGACATTCACTGCAATGTAGGAGAAGATGCACGGCTTTGGGAGCCTTTTGGGAGGGTGGACATCTAGGAGAGGATTCTGGGATGTCATGGCCTCAGTGCTGCTGCCTGACACCACCAGATGGGATCTAGAAAGCTTGCAGCTTCTGGGGGTTCCTGGAGGTCTGCAGAGCTGCTAGGAGGATCAGTCCTTGGCTCTGCCAAAGCTGAGGTAACCTTGGAGATGAGGGACATTAACTGTGGTGGTAGTAGAGGGCCCACTCTGTGACTCACTGATGTATCAGGTGACCTTGGCAGTGCTTGCCCTGAGCCACATCCCAGCTCCCCTACTGATGGCCAGGATCCCGACCTGTTCAACAAACTGAGTGTGATTTCTACAGCAGATCCCTCTCTGCAGTCTTGGGCTGGGAAGGCAACAGGGTGGAATGGGACAGGGCAGTCTGCTCATGCCTGTTCCCGTTCCTATTCTGTAAGCTGCTGGAGGACTAGGCTAGACATGTGGTGTGGTGTCCTGGTACCAGGACCCTCCTTTCCCCAACCCGTGGTGTCCAGTGCAGGGCCACGCTTGACTGCGATGCCACCATTCCTCCCTTTCCACTGGCCTGCCCTCAGTGGTGGAGGGCTGGGTTCCTCTGAGCACCTTCCTGGCCTTCTGGGAGCTTCTGTCTTACCTGGCCCTCTGTCCTCCTATATTGGACCTGCAGGAATAGAAGATAAGGAGTCTTGGCATGGGAAGCCTCTCCCCAAAAACATGGCTGAGCAGATCATCCAGGAAATTCACAGCCAGATCCAAAGCAAAAAGAAGATCCTGGCAACTCCCCCGCAGGAGGACGCCCCCTCGGTAGACATCACCAACATCCGCATGCCCACTCCACCCAGCTACAAAGTCGGGGACAAGGTAAAGTCAGGCCTTGCTTTTCTGGACTAGCTGGGTGGGGTGGCTGTGGTTCTCTGGCTCCCCAAGGCTAGGGCTAAGATGTGACTCTTGGCAGGGAAAGGGAGGAGAGCGATTAGTGCAGGGTGAGGAGGAACCCTGAGGTGTTGCTCCTGCTAGTTCCTTCATGGAGACAGCCAGTTCTGGAATTATTTACCTGCAGAGACTCAGAGGGCAAGGGACTTGCTCATAGTCACACAGCAAGGTGCTGGCTGCTGGGATCAAAGCCACACCTTCTGAGTCTCCCACCCCTGGTCCATCGGGGCCTTGGCCTATGCTCAGGACTCGTTCGTGTCTGGCCTGGCAAAGGCTGGGCAGACCTGCCCTACTCCAGGGCCCTCCCCTGGGTGAACCCATCAATGCAACTGGCGTCAGGCTTTCTGATTCCCACACTTTCAGTGTATTACCGTGCATAATAGGGTGAGTTCACAGACCTGTCACAGGGGAGGGAAATTGGGGATGTTAGTACATCTTTTGCAGCTCAGACAGCCCACAGCTTTGCTGAGGACAGAGGACTCCCAAGTTGTTCATTGTAGAAGTTCCTGGCAACCTTACAGAAGTTAAGTTTCCACAGGGTCGTGTGTTACTGGGCTTCCTTTTTCTGTTCCAATTTTCATTCTTTTCTGCTCTAAAAGATGTTACCCCTGAGACTGTGCGTGGCTCCAGGCCACAACTCACACATGCCCACAGCAGTGCTTAGCCTTCCCACTCTACTCCACAGATAGCTACCCGCAAGGCCTACGGGCAGGCCCTGGCCAAGCTGGGCCACGCCAGTGACCGCATCATCGCCCTGGATGGGGACACCAAGAATTCCACCTTCTCAGAAATCTTCAAAAAGGAGCACCCAGATCGGTTCATCGAGTGCTACATTGCCGAGCAGAACATGGTGGGTGCCAGGTGTGAGCAGGTAGACACAGGGCTTTGGGGCAGAGGTCTGAGGGGAGCAGGGGCAGGACCAAAGCCATTTTGCTCCTTTGGGCCGCTACGATGGGAGTGCCAGGTGACCGCTGTGGGCTAGCCCACCCAAATGACTCCAGAATAGCTAGGACCCAGCATTGACCCTTGACTTTGAGTAAATATAATTTGGGGGGGGGATGTGTCATGCCCAGGTGCGAATGTACTGAACGAGTGTGCAAACAGGAGCTGAACAGAGTGCAGGTGCACACAGGAGCACTGCATGTAGGCCAGGGGTGGTGAATGGGCTTCTCTGGGCACAGGAGGAAGGAAGACTTGAATGTGATGGGCCTAGCAGCCAAGTAGTGGTGAATGGGCTTCTCTGGGCACAGGAGGAAGACTTGAATGTGATGGGCCTAGCAGCCAAGTCTGCTAAACCCCTTTTATGCACAAGGTCTAGACTCCTGATATGCACACAGTCGAATAAGCAGCCCCTTGTCAGAAATGATGTTTCGTCCTGTTTTTCAAAATATCCGCTCCTCTTGGCCAAGGACCCTAGCCGGGTCTGCAGGCCTTTACAATCTCTCTGAAGTCTTCTGGCTCCAAAGTTCTTCAGCTGAACCTGAAATTCTCTCTCTGGTTTCTAGTCTTGGCAGCTGGAGGGTCCAGATTAGACTAGCAGGGTTTGTGGTTTGGGGAGGCCCTAGGTGCTAGGGAAGGAGGGCTCATGTCAGCAGTGGGTTTCAGGGCTGTGGAGGCCTCTTGAAACCAATTGGTTCTAGCTGATCTGGAACCAAAGGCCGTACTAATTGCTTCTGGGCGAGGGGTTTGGGGCTGGAGCCTCTGGGAGACAGAGGGGATGGGAGGCCTGGTCTCTGCAGACGCCTTGGGGCTCATAAGGGAGATTAGTGGTGAGGGGGGTAGTTGGAGAGGCTGGACCATCCGTGCCCAAACTTAAGTAGCCTGCTCTGTGAAAGGCTTTTTGCTTGTTTCTAGGGGAAAAAAAATTCCCCAGGACAATAATTTTAAGAGAACTTTTGAAATGGTTATTTCAAGTTGAAGGATTTCTGTGTTTTGAAACAGACTGTGGAGTGCATGCCTGTATAGAAATCAGTTGCATGAGGGGAGGAGAATTAACAGTTACTAGGATGACGACTCTGCCCCCTACCCCTCAAAAGGGGTTCTGGGCTCCTTGGCCACCCTTTCCCTTCTGTACCTCCAGGTGAGCATCGCTGTGGGCTGTGCCACACGCAACAGGGCCATACCCTTCTGCAGTACTTTTGCAGCCTTCTTCACGCGGGCTTTCGACCAGATTCGCATGGCGGCCATCTCCGAGAGCAATATCAACCTCTGCGGCTCCCATTGCGGTGTGTCCATTGGTGAGTTGAATCGAGGCCAGGATGTTTACAACTAGAGCTTCCCTGGCCTTCTGGACCAGGCGGTGAGGGAAGTCAGGGCCAGGATTCCATTCCACAGATGGGGTCTTACTTCAGCATGTCCTTTCCCACACCATAGGGGAAGACGGTCCCTCTCAGATGGCCCTGGAAGATCTGGCTATGTTTCGATCGGTCCCCATGTCAACTGTCTTTTACCCAAGCGATGGGGTATCTACAGAGAAGGCGGTGGAATTAGCAGCCAATACAAAGGTTAGTCACAGAGCTGTTCCTTTTTCTGTTGGCAGCTAGCTCTTCCCTAGAGGGATAGCAGGGGAGGCCAGCATGCAGGCACAGAGCTGGTCATTCACTGCCCCAGAGTGGTATTGCCTGAGCTTGCCCCTGGTGTTTATAGTTAGAAGTTAGACTAGGAAGAACAAAATACACACCACCCTTCCTGCCTCATGGCAGACATTGCTAATTGATTATCACACTCTCCGCTGAGAACCCAGGTAGCCCCTGCCAATCTGGCAGTTGATGCCCCTCTGGCCTCCTTGAGTTGGATTCACCAAGACAAAATGAGCTAAGCAACATGGTCCTGACCAAGAGCTGTGCTCCATAGACCAGAGTACCTTGTGGTTCCAATTCTCTGCTTGAGGGCTAGGGGCATGCCAGATGCACTCTGGGGGAGCAACCCCACTTGGGAGGCCAGTCTTCCTGATGGAAAACTCAGTTTCCACCTGGGGCTTGGGGCTGGCAAAGCTTTTGGGTGGCTCTCACTCAGGAGGAGTGTTGGGAGCAGTGCATGCTGCAGAGAACGAGTCCTTTTTCATGCTAGGGGAGTGGCCAGCATGAGATGACTGACAAACACCTCCGTGGGGACAGCGGGGTAGAAGAGGTTTGTTTGCAAGTGGGAAGTGAAGCCTTTCTAAAAAGATTGCTCTTCGAGGTTGAATGTGTGACATCCTATAATCCTCAGTTATTGTTTCGTTCCAGGGCATCTGCTTCATCCGGACCAGCCGCCCAGAAAATGCCATCATCTATAACAACAATGAGGATTTCCAAGTTGGACAAGCCAAGGTCAGTGTAGTTCATGGGCCAGTGAGACCTCACAGAGTGAGCCCAAAGTTGGGGCCTACCCCAGGCCACCAGTACCTGAGCCTCACTGGCCTCCTGTGTCACCTCTAGGTGGTCCTGAAGAGCAAAGATGACCAGGTGACTGTGATCGGGGCTGGGGTAACCCTACATGAGGCCTTGGCTGCTGCTGACCTGCTGAAGAAAGGTGAGGAGAGAGGGACCCAAATAGTCTTTGATCAGGAGCTGACTACATACTAGGTCTTGGGAGTGGGAATTTTACCTAATTAAATGATAATAGTGAAAAATAAAAGCCACCCTTTAAGCACTTACTACATGCCCATTATGATGCTAAGTTCTGGGGCTACAGTGCCCACAGTCCCTGCCCCATGGCCCTAGAGTTGAAGTGCCCCAGCATGGCAGTCAGATCAGACTCCCTGGGCTTGCAGTGGGGTTCGGGCGCCACTCAGCTGAGCACTAGTTAAATAAGTTATTCAGTCTCAGTTTCTCCATCCATAAAATGGAGATACTGTCCTGGGGACTTAGTAAATGTGATCTGGCGTTGTTACTGTCATCACGAACTTACAAATGTTAGCTACCGACACTGTAGCGGAGACAGGCATTAGCCTCCCCTACAATAGAATCACAATAGATATCACGTCTCATCCATGCTGAGCACGAAAGAGAGGGTGGACATGGGCATCCTTAGGAATATGATCTCAGATGTATGTAGGACTGATAAGCAAAGAGGGGAATGAAGAGACCCAGGCAGGAGGAATGGCATGTACAGAGCTCTGAGGACCTGGAGGAAGGGCTAGGCAGGAGCAAGATGGGCTGGAGAAGCCAGAGAAAACTGGTCCCAGCAGGGATGGAGATCCAGGGGGAGGATGTGAAGCAGGCATAACTGACTTGGAGTTGGCCTTCTGAGGTTATTCTGCTGGGTCATCACCTGACCTGACACCCCACCCTCATGCTTGCCTGTGGCCACAGCTTTCTTCCCCATCACCCCATGAGCTCATGGCTTATTTCAGATCAGACCCTGGAGCCGTCCCTCTGGCTTCCCCTTCATCTTCAGAGGCATCTAGGAGGATGAAGGAAAGCTACGCAGGCCCTACACATATGCCACTTAATGTTCTTTGACAGTATAAAGGTCAATAGCTCCTTGGCCCAGGGTGTGAGGGAAGAGAGAGGGGTGCTCCTCTCCGCTAAGACCAGGTGCTCCTAAAACAGACCAAGGAACGCTTCCAGGAGGAGGTGGGTGGGTGCAGAATGCCAGAGGACATGGGAACCACACATAAACAGGAAGGGGGCAAGCCATGGGGGGTTGGCAAGCACAAGCCCAACAATGGGAACAAGGGGACAGCTGGTCCTCCTTGGGACAGGGACAGGCCACAAACTGAGCTTTTAGCTGTATGACAGCTCTCAGGACATACCAGCCAGGCCCCCTCCCAGGGGCCCCATCAAAGGCCACCAAAAGGCAGACCCACAGCACCTAGCCCATTCCCCTCAGCTACACCTCTGCATCTACCTTCACAGAGAAGATCAACATCCGAGTGTTGGACCCTTTCACCATCAAGCCCCTGGATCGGAAACTCATTCTTGACAGTGCCCGTGCTACCAAGGGCAGGATCCTCACGGTGGAGGACCACTACTACGAAGGTAATAGGTCCTGGGCCAGAGAACCAGGGCCACATGGGTCAGGGAGGGGCCCCGGGTCACAGTGCTGGACATCCCAGCCCCAGTAGGGCAGCTATGGCCCAAGAAACGGAGAGCTGTCCCTCTGAGCATTTGGATCTTGGCCTGTTAGGCCTCAAGCTAGACCTGGGACCCAGTGAACTCTCAGCTGCTGGAATTCTCCATGCAGTCCTTGCCCCACAGGAAGCCAGTGGGGATTCTTATCTCATTGCTAAGAGTGAAAAAGGTGGCTTGTGTCCCAGAAGTGGTTGAAAGTTAAGGCTATTCAGATTCACACTGGGAAAGCAACACAGAATTTGTCTTTCATGAGTCCTTCCCAAAGCGACCCTCTCATACCACCTTCTCACAGGAGAGGAGATGGGCCTAGACTCTGAGGTCAAGTGTAGATGCTAGTCCATTAATGACAGCTACTCACCAGATGGTGTTAAAAATGATTCAGAGGCTACATGTGGGCTTATGGAAAGAAAATAAGTGTGGTTATTGATTAGTGATGTCCGCTGTGGCTGCAGTTGTGGGGAAGGGTTGGTGCGTATGCCATCTCTACCATCCTTGGGTTAGGGAGTAAACTCAGACTGGCAGAGGGCCAGGGGACGCACCTACTGCTTACTCTGAGACTGAATCACTTGACTCACCTCCTTTCCTTTGCCCAGGTGGCATAGGTGAAGCGGTGTCCTCTGCAGTAGTGGGCGAGCCTGGCGTCACTGTCACTCGCCTGGCTGTTAGCCAGGTACCAAGAAGCGGGAAGCCAGCTGAACTGCTGAAGATGTTCGGCATTGACAAGGATGCCATCGCACAAGCTGTGAGAGGCCTCGTCACCAAGGCCTAGGGAGTTACAGGGTGTGGGGCGGGGGTTCTGCACATTCCGGAGAGATTCTGGCAGAGGTGCTCAAAGATGTACTGAGAAGAGAGGTAAATATATGTTTTGAGAAAAACGAAGCGGCCCCTGATATGTTTGTTCTTTGATATGGATGTGGCCAGTGCTGGTTCTGGGGAAGAAGGGTGAAAAGGAGAGGGAGGAAGGTTGGTCCCTTTGGCTCTGGGCCAGAACCTGGGTGTCTTAAGGCCTCTGCAGCCACCTTTCCTGGGCCCAGCATCTGCCTCAACTGCCACAACTGCTGCTGCCTCCCAATTACTGCCAGGTGACATTGGACTACAATTTGCTTTCCAGCCCAGAGTCTGCAAACCCAAATCCCTCACCTTGCCCTCAGCCACCAGCCCCAGGGAGGCTGGAAGCTGCCTCAGACCAGGGGCTATCCAAGCCCCCATAGAGCTGCCTCACCTCCCCCAAGGCCCTGCAGCCCTGCCTCAGGTCTCCCAAGGTGAGGTGCCCTTGCTTATTGTCATTGCTCCTTGCCTTGTCCTCTTAACTAGTAATCTCAGAGAAGCAGAGGGACACAGGACAGCTTCCATCCTGGGGGAGAAGGTGACCCTCAGGTTGGCATCAGAGCTGCAGGTGGCAAGTTAAACAAGAAGGTCCAGCTCCCACCCTCGACCACAGACCAGACATCCTCAATCCTGAGTGTTCAGGACTGCCTCCCCTCAGCTTGCTAAAATGTAGGTCTCTGGGCCTTGCTTCTCGAGCATGGGACTCTATTCGATAGCTGTCTCAGGAGCTTCTCATGTCACACTTAGAGAATGGTGCCAGTCTCGGCTCCTGCCCATACCCTCTGCTGGTTCCCTTACTCCCTGTGACCACAACTTATTTCTCCCCCTGCTGCATGGGGCTCAGTGGGAGTCAGCTCTACTTGTGCTAACTGTAGAGACCTTTGTACTGGCCTAAGACAAACTAATGTCAGAAAAAGGCTGGGCACCCCTGGCCACTGGTGGGGTCCTCAGGAAATCCTCAGCCCTTGGGGAAGATGAGATACATTGTAGACAATCTGGACAGAATGAATCAGTCAGACCCACAGATCGCAAACCACCACCCACTCAGCTACTTGGCCAGTTTTGGCTGCACCAGGGACTGTGTGCCTGCATTCAACTCATCAGAGCCAGAGGGAAGGGGAAGAGCAGGGCTGGGGAAGAGGCCCAGGCTGGCATAACCATTCTCCATCTCTGGGTTAGAGCTTCTCAGCCTGTGAGCACTAGCTGGAGGTGAATTCAGTAGTAGACTTGGGGGTCTGAGCAAGCCTCAGGGAGCCTGTGGACACCAGGCACTGCAGGAGCCCACGTGGGTAGGAGGAAGGGTAAGGGCAAGCCTCTTCCCTTCTACGTGAGACATTAGGGGTAGGGCAAGAGGGACAGTTGTCAGCCAAAGCTTTGCGTCCTGACACAATTATGATGCCTCCTTGTATAGTCATGTGCCACATAATGACATTTCAGTCAACAGAATGCATATATGACAGTGGTCCCATAAAATTCCTATCAATCACCTAGTGACGTCATAGCACAACACATCACACGTGTTTGTGGCGATGCTGGTGTAAACCTACTGAGCTGCCAGTCATAAAAGTATAACTCAATTATAGTAGTGTGCCATACGGTTTAGGTTTGTGGAGCTCTGACATTCGCACGATGAAATTGCCTAAGGATGCATTTCCTAGAAGCATCCCCTTTGTTAGGTGGCGCATGACAGTAATCCAAAATAACCGTAAACCATAAAAGAGGAAGGAAATCCACAAAGGTCTGTAGGCTGCAGTCCTGGGAAAGAGAGGCGGGGTGCCACCTAGTGGTCTCCCTGGTACTGCAATGCCGGGGACAGCCCCTAGGTGGAGCTGAGATAGGACTGCCGGGGGCCAGTTGTCATAACAGGGCTGCAGCCAGCAGGGAACAGTGAGCAGCAGGAGTGGGAGGTGAAGGTGACAGTATACCTCCTGCAAGCCAGTATTTTATGTGTACATATCTTGCTTAGTCCTTACAATAGGATCATCCCCATTTTACAGATGAGCTAGTACTAAGGCTCAGAGGATAAACCAGTGAACCCAGCACAGTACTGGGCAGAGCTGGGATTGGGACTCTAGAGGTCCCAACCTCTGCCCCCACATTGGGCCATCCTGTAGAAGGGGTTGTACGGCAGGCTCCCTAGAGAAGGGCTTTGTGTCCTGCAGGAAAATGCTCATGGGGAGTGTGGAGGGAGCTCAAGTCCTGTAGGTTTGTCAGCAAAGTTGCCTGTGGTCCCCAGAGCCTACCGTCCCACACAGAGAAGTTTCTAGAAGCAAATGGTGTGGCAGGCAGCTGAACCGTGGGCACAGATCCAGACCTGCAGGGAGACTAGGGTGGACCTGCTGGGCCATATACCCTGGGCAGCCATGGTCCCCCAGAACCTGGGCAGTCCTGGTTAATCCAACAGGAGAGGCGGCTGTCCTCACCCCAGCCTGCCAGCCTCTCAAAGGCCCACACAGCTTGTGAAGGAGAAGATAAGGCCTGGGTAGGTAGGCACTTGGGGCTTGGGCAGGATGGGGGGCAGTGGCAATACTCCCAAGGCCTCTGGCCCAGTCCTGGGATAGCAAAGACACAGGCAATTGTGGGACATTTAGGGATCCGGGGGCTATGATGAGCCTCTGAAACTGCCTCCTCTCTTGTTTTGCAGAGAAGACATAGTGCAGAATGTATGTGGTACAGAATATGCTAGGAGACAGTCAGCTGGACCCCCATGGGAGTCCGAGGAACCTGCTATTTCCCCCTCAGCTCCTGGCCAAGGGAGACAAGAAGCCAGGACAAAGTGCCTGAGCTACCTATGGTCTGACCTCTCAGCCAGAAGAGAGGTGGGGTGGGTGTCACCTAGTGGTCTTCCTGGCCAGGCCTCATGGCTTAAGTAGCTGAGGAGAAGGTCAGCATGGCTCGAGGAGGGCCAAGGCTGTGGGTCATCTGGACCCCACAACGACCTTTCCTGGCACCAAAGAAAAGGCCCTCCCAGCCCAGCTGCCAGAGAAGGGAGGCCAGAGACCACTTTTCTTCACTTCGTCACGCATAGCTATGTGACATAGCTATAAGAGGTATGGGGGTATGGGTGCCCTGGGTCAGATCTCACAGTCCCCAAGCCACTCAAGTGAAGCTACAGCCAGCTGAGCCTGACAAGAGACAGGCAGGAAAACAGGCAGGGCTGCAGGTACCTCACAAAACTCTTCAGACCAAAACACTATGGAGTAACAGGTCTGGGTTCCGATCCTACCTCCCCAGCTCTCTCTCTGTGCCACTGGGAGAATCATCTCTCCAAGCTTCAGTTTCCTCATCTGCTAATGACAGGTTCCTCATAAGGCTGCTGTGAGAATGAAATAACAGACGTGATAATGTCGTTAGCACAACGCCAGGGAGATGGGGGCTCAGAAGACAGTTGCAATGCCTGACAAGCCATAGGCAAGCGCACCTGACCTGGCAGGGCTAGTGGTGGTTAGTGCTGGGCTCTGCGTGACTACAATACTTAGGAAGCTCAGGGCTCTACCTGCAGTAGTTCGGGATGCTTTTTAACAACCGTTGTTTTTTAAAAGCTTTATTGAGATATACATAATTCGCCTGTTATAGGTATACATTGTAAGTTCAGACTCCATCAAAAATTTCATTTTAGCTGATTTCAGGGACACAGATCTCAACAACTAGCCAGTCTCCCCGTCATTCTCAGAGGCTCAAGTTGTATCACTTTTCCGTAGACAGTGGCCAATGTGGAGGAGGAACCTGCAACCCTAACTGTAGCGCTGGGGAGGGGTGGACTCATGGATCAGAGACTCTGGGCTGTAGCAGTGTCTCCTGGTAGTCACACAGCACCAAACTTGCAAGATGCATTCTGGAACAAAGAGGAAGCTTCCAGGCAATACCCAATGAGAGACTAGATAGGTCTCTCTCTCAATAACTTCAGCTCCCATTAATTTTGCTTCCTAAATTATTCCAAATGTGCCACCTTCTTCCCCCATCCTGGTCCAGAGCCCCATTATTTCTCCCTGCACAAAGCAATACAGGCAGCCTCCAGCTGCCTTCTGGCCTCTGCCCCTCCCCCAATCCATTCTCTACACACAAGCCCAAGGGAACCTTCTAGAACCTGATACAAACACTTTCCTTTTCAAACACTTCCCCACCCCCACGACTCTCACTGGATTAAGCCCAGCCTCTAGTGAGGCCCTAAATGGCCTCCACTTGCCCCCGCTCCAGCTTCACCCCAAACCATCTCCTTCTTGATCTACCGGCCCAGCTTCTCTCAGTTCCTCCACGTCTCTCCCACTTCCTCTTCTGCCTCTTCTATCCCTCCCCAGTCCGGGTTGTGCTTGAACACTTAGGGCAGAAGAAAACACAAGTCAGTTTGGCAATAGGGAGAAAATGAGGACAAAGAGGAAGAAGAAAGAGCTTGGTTGGGGGAGAATTAGAAGAGACTCTGGGAGGAGACGGCCTCTGAGCCAAGCCTTTGGGCATCGGCTGGGTTTTGACTGAAAGTGAGCTGAGTGTGCATGGGCAGTGGGCGAGGGCCTCTAAGAAGGCACAACCTACTTGGGCAACAGTGGACATCTGGTTTGACTGGAGGACACATGCAGGGACAATGGGACGATGCAGCATTGAATGCTAACTTTGTCAGTTTTCAGGCCCCAACTATGCCTGCAGAGACTTCCATTTTAACTTTCGCAGGAAGAGGAAGTTTTCTTTTTCCTTCTCCAATCAGTATTTTATTGCATGCTTTACACTGCCTAGGTCCTGTGTAAAGAAGAAGCCAAAGATGAACCAGCCCTAATTCACGTCCACCAGGCCAGTGATTTCTCAAACCTGGCTGAGGTACAGAATGGGAGATTTCTGCGGGTATCAAGCCCTAGGCCCAAAACACCACCTTTCTATGGCTTTCCTTAGCCAAGATAGCACAAGCTAAAATTCTTAAAAAAGGGTTTACTAAACCAAGAGCAAACAGAAAGGAAATAAACTCCTGGAGGACTTGAAGTATAAAATTAATCAGACACAGGTTCCTAAAACTTCCCAAACCATAACGTTGTTTTTCTGTTCTCATCACAGTTTCAAACACA